ATTGCAGCTGTTGTAATTGCAATTGTTATCAGTGCAAATGACTGACTCTTATTAATTTATTTCTTGGTAGTAGCTTTGGTCCTGCATTTCCATTCCCACTGCCACCAGTCAAGTCAAAGTCCTGGTCATATGCCAATAAGATTCTTGCTGTAACTTTCTGACCAGTGTCCACATCTTGACTCTCAATCTGTGTGCTTCCAGTATGGGCTTCCTAAAGTAACATAGCACCTCTTTAAAAAGTTATCATAGGGGGGCTGGAGAGATGGCTCAGCGGTTGAGAACACTGGTTGTTCTTGCAGAAGACCCAGGTTCTAATCCCAGCACCCACAAGGCAGCTAACAACTGTCCATAGCTCCAGTTCCAGGGGATCTGAAAGCCTCTTCTGACCTCCACGGGCATTGCATGACATGGGTGCACTTACCTACATGCAGGCAATACACTATATGCATAAAATAAAAATAAATAAAATTTAAAAAAATTTAATTTATCATAGGGACCCTGACTCAGAAAAAAAAAGTTATCATAGGAAAAATACTTAACAGCTTATATCATGAAAAGCTAAGCTTCCTAATATGGAAAGAGACCCTAGAAAACAGATAAGGAAAGAACCCACAGATTTTTAAAATGGAAATATAAATTCAAAACCAGAAAAAGAAAAGACTAATAAACATGAAAAGATAAGCAGCCTGGTTTCTTAGAAAAGAGAAGCACACATTAAAATATATTTTGAATCAGCAATTTTTACTTGTGGAGATTTATTATGTGGATATACATACACGTTTTATTCATTGAAACATTGTAACAGGTAATGATAGAAAACAAGCTAATATCTAATATGTTATGTTGCTACTTACCTCTTCAGAAGAGGTCCCAGTATGCTAATATGGTAAAAACTCCAAGACACTGTTAAATGATAAAAAAAAGAAAGCAAAGTGTAGAATGATGGTTTTGTGATATTCTTCATGTATTCAGGGATAAAAGCAGGAATGTCCATACACATAGATGGAGAAACTCTGATGGACACACATGATGTATATAGCAGTATTTACCTGAGTGGGAAGATGAGAGGCAGAAATAAAAAGGGTACTTACTTATTCTCTCTCTCTCTCTCTCTCTCTCTCTCTCTCTCTCTCTCATTACCTTTTGAGAAGAATAATATCATAAGAGGTTCAAAAGAAATATTATAGGCATTTAGAGACCAGTTAGCAAAATGACACCCAGGAGAACAAAGCTAACACAAGATGTTATTCACCAAATGTTTATTTCATGAAGGCCACTGTGGGAGATTGGGGCTACAATGAAGAGTTTGAGTCAATGAAGTAGATTGATTTAGTATGGCCCCAAAGTGTCCTGGTAGTGAGCAAAGATGTATCGAGGGTTCTGTTTACGTGGGTTACTTGGGAGTGTGTGTGTGTACGAGGGATGGTAGAGAATGAGACCTTCAAAGCACAGATACTGTTTGGACTTTAAAACATTCCAAGTGAGAAGCTTTGTATACCTGGATGATGGGAATTTCAATGCCAAGGGAGAGTCTAGAAATGAGGTGATTTAGGAGGACCTTTTGTAGTTTTCAGCAGAGGAAAAAACATACATATAGAAAGGAAAATTCCATCAAAACAGTCATTAGGTGACTAGAAAATCATGTCATCAAATAATATGCTTTTATACTTTGAAGGGAATATTAAACTTAATGAAGATTAAGAGGTCTAAGTAAAATGTTACAAAATGGCATTCACACCTTTGAGGGCAGTCATTTGACACTTGGCAGTCAGTTAATATTTGACACTTCTAGTGTCACAGATTTGTCAGTAAACAACAGAAAACAAAATAAATTAACTATATTCTGAGCTCCTGTGAGCTCAGAGTAGAATAGAGCTGACCACCACTTATGTGCTCTCTTAAGCAGTTGCTAACATATTATGATTATTATAGTATAACCATGGGAGTAAAGTATAATTACTTCTGTTTTACAGAAGAGATTAAGTAGCTTGTTTGTTTGTAGTTTACCAACAAAGCCAGAACTTTTGAATATTGTATTATACATGTAGCCTTCAGCTAACTTGGCCTCAGAATCTGCTGGAACAGACTTAATGTCTTAAAACTAGGTCACTTTTTAAAAGCTACTTCAGAACAAAACTAATGGTATTTTTAGCAGTGTCATGGGGAGAGGGGCATGGCTTTAACATGAATTTTTGTATAAATAATACAGATGCCAAATACATTTCAAAGTTCTGCCTTTTAAAAACTTATATTTTTATTTAATCTGTTGGAGTTTTCTGGGCTCTATGGATCTGGATGTTCATTTCTTGCTCCTGATTTAGGAAGTTTTCCTCCACTGTTCCTTTCTCTGTTCCTTCCTATAATGTGTACACTGATTCACTTGATGGTGTCCCAAAACCCTATGAGCTTTCTCCATTTTCTTTTGTTGGTCTTTTTGAGATAGGGTCTCCCTGTAGCCCCAGCTGGCCTGTAACTCACTATGTAGACCAGGCTGGCCTTGAACTCTGAGAGGTCTGCCTGCCTCTGCCTCCCGAGTGCTGGGATTAAAGGTGTGCACCACCATGCCTGGCTATATTCTTTTTGTTCCTCCAGCTTACTGACTTTTATTCTTACTGAGTCTGTTAAAGTTATCTGTAGAAGTTTTAACTTCAGCCATTGTTTAGTGACAGAATCATTTGGTTCATTTTAAAGATTTTTCTTTGATGAACTTTTTGCTCATGTTACTTTCCAGGTTTCATCCAGTTGTCCACCTAAATAAAAGCTCACTGAGCTTCTTTGAGACTGTTTTAATTTCTGTTAGCAGTTCATGACCCTTCTTTAGGGTTGGATACTGGGCATTTTGTTTTGTTCCTTCAATGACATGTTTCCCCCATGGTTTATGATGCTTATGATCATGCACTGGTGTCTGCATACTTGGAGATGTATGCACATATGCCAGTCTTCACAGACTGGTTTCCTCAGAGAAAGCCCTTTACCAGTCAGGTAAACAGATTCTAGGCACACTATCCCGCATGAACTGTGGGTGGATTAGCCTCACAGGTAGGTCCATAGCAATGAGGTCTGCAGTGTGTATCTGTGGATGTTGCCATGAAGCATAGGTCTACAGGCCCTTCCCATCACTTTCAAAATGACCATCATCTTCACTTTTAACATCACAGATGTGATTTAACTGTTTTTGTTTTTTGTATTTTTGAGATTGGGCCTCACTTTGTACCCCTGGCTGGCCTGAAACTCACAGAAACCTGCCTACCTCTTCTTCCCAAGGGAATCAAACCTGGGTCCTCTGCAAGGGCAGCCAGTGTTCTTAACCACTGAGCCATCTCTCCAGCCATCCCTGCAATGGCTTTTAAAAGTGGTTATAAGAAGTTCACCTGGGAAAGTGAGATGGCTCAGTGGGTAACAGTACTTGCCACCAAGCCTGTTAACCTGAGCTCAATCCCTTGGACCACATGATGGTGGCTAATAACCATCTGTAAACCTAAATTAATATATATCCTATGTCCCAGCAATTCTGCCTTGAGTTATATACCCAACAGAGATATATGCTCATATTCACCAAAAGGTATCAAAAATGATTTACTTTATCTGTTTATAAACAAAACTAAAACAACTGTCCAACAGAAGAGAGACAAACACAGTAATAGGAATTAATGAGACACCACGGTCAAGATGAATGAGTCTCATTAACAAAATATTGAGTGAAAAAGGATACAAAAGAGCACTGCTATATAATTCTACTTACACAGGCTTCAAAAACAGTTAAGGCTAGGCCTGGCGGTAGGTATATAACTCGAGGCAGAATTGCTGGGACACAGGATATATATTATAATATGTATGAAATTTGGTGGAGCATAAGGGGGGTGAAGATAGGAGATGGAATCTAAATATGATCAAAATATTTTGCATGAAATTCTCAAAAAAAACAGTAAAAAGGAGTCAAAAATAAAACTGTCAATTTTCAATTGAACTTTCTGGTGTATTAATTTGAAGATGTTCTTATTCTGTATACATCTTTATTGGAAATATATATTATTTATGTTTTGTTTAGTTACATTTTCATTAATGTCATGGGAACCTAATGTCAATGTGGTCCAATGAGCAGTTTTTCCCTTTATAGTTAGTACTACATGCATTTAAGAAATCTTTATCTGTTCTGTATGAAATACACAAAACTTCAATTAAAAAAAGAAATCTTTATAACAAGATATTTCTGATAATTTAGTGTTACTGTTTTATCTGTTACATTTAGATCTAAAATCCACCTGGAATTGATTTTGGGGTGTGGTGTGAAGTGGGCATCATGACTCCCTGTGAACGTTGGTGACCCAGTATCATTTACAGGATTGTATGCCGTCCCACAGCCCACCACAGCAATAACTTCACATAAACCAAGTGACCATATAGTGTCACCATAGAGTGTTTCTGGGTTCTGGCGCATTGGTCATTTTGTCTGTCCGTGTGTAATTTCTGGGCTTTATAATAGGTCTTGGTAACTGGTAATGTACGTCCTACTGCGGGCTCCAATTTTTCTCCCCACTGAAACATCTAGTGTTACCTCCACCTCCCACTTGACTTTCAAAGCGCCCCTGTGAGAGTGATTGATTTGCCTGCTCCCCTGACTTGATCACTGTGGTTACCTCAGCCTTTGTCCCACCAAAGCCCTTTAAATTGAAAGCCAGCCAGGTGTCTGCAGACAGAGGCAGGTCCGCTGGGTAATTAACTAACTCGGGGAAGGGAGAGAGGGGGAGGCGCGGCTGTCCCGTAGAGAGAGACTCGGTGAGGAAGTGGTCCATCTACTGGAGTCTGGCTTCTGGGGAAGACAGGAGGGGAGCCAAACTCTCAAATCTGGGCCGAGGAGGGCCAGACGTGGTCACCCAATGTGAATGTCGCGGGGTTCCTCCTGGCCGCGAATCGGCTGGCCGGGGTGGGGCCGCCGAGCCGCAAATCACCAGCTGGGGGCCGAGTGCGCGCCGCCGCTCAGAGCCGCCTGCAGCCGCCGGGCCCGGCGGGAGCGCGAGGAGCCGGGCGGAGCGCACAGCCCAACGCGGGCTCGGTGGGCATGAGCGGCCGCAGCGCCGGGGGCAGCCGCAGGGCGAGCCGTGCGGGACGGGCAGCGCGGCGCCTGTGAACCGCAGCCCGGAGCCGGAGCGCCGCGCGGGGAGGTGAGTGTCCCCGTGCGCCCCGCGTCCGCGCTGGGACACCCGGCTTGCGCGGGTCGCCCCGAGAAGGGACCGGGAGGTTTGCGGGAGAAAGTTGGGTTCTGGGGAGAGCGGAGCCCGCGCGTGTGTCTCCCCGGCAGAGTTGGCGTGGGGCGTCGGGGGTGGCCGGAGCGGGATGGGACTTGCGTGCTGGGGCGCCCCGGATCGCTCAGCTCAGCTTCCGCCGAGCGGCGCGCGGGAGATCGGCCCTGGAGCATCCTCGCTCTTTTGCTAGGGTGGCGCTATATTCCCAGACACTGGTCTCCGGACCCGGTCCGATCCACCCACTCCCTCCGGACGGGTTCCCACCCCCACCTCCACCCCCACCCCCATCTCGGTCCCCTCCGGTTCCGTCTGGCTTTCCCTGAGGCCGGTCGGGTCGGGAGATGCTCACCCAGACGGCCCCCCGGAGGCTCTCTAGAGTCCTTTCTCCACTAATCTCTTGGGAAGTTTGCAAAGAAAGCGAAGGAGCCTGCTCTGTAATTGTTGACATCTCCCTCCCTCTCTCTGCCCTTTGTTGAGGAAGATGAATAGTTGGTTGTGTGGCTCCCTCTAAGTAGGGGGAGGGAAGGCAAAGAGGGAGGGACGGATCGCAGCCTATCTTTCTTTACCCACCTAGGCTGCTACCACTTAAAAAGTTTGATCAGGTGTAGCACTCGTCATGAGGGCAGCTGGCAAAGGTGGTGTGTGCGATGGGGGTGGATCACAGAACTCTGGTTTTAGTGTTAACACTCGCTGGAGGCAAGGTGCAAAGAGTAGCCCATGTCTGCTTTTGCTTACAGCCATTAGTCCAAATGGAAAGTAGAGCCTCCTCTAGAGATTCTTTTAAACCGTGACTCTTATCTCCCAAGGTTCCACAGACCTCTTGGGGCAAGTACTTGGGCACAGGGAAAATTACTTTGGAAGCCGATTATCTCTGTGTGTTCTTGGGGACTGAGACGAGATGCTGGAGGAAGGGAGAGGCCATGACCCTGGGGATAGGCTCAGCAAGGCCAAGTGGGAAGGGGTTGCCCAGTTAGTCATGGGGAAGCCCACAGGCTAAGCGGTTTTGTGTGAGTGTGCCAAGGAGTGTAGTGAGTCTAATGTAAATAGCTTGTGGTCCCTCAGCACCCAACACCGGCTCTCAACTGTTGGTGAAAAGCCTGATATTTCCAAGATGACTAACCTGAGATCTCAATCTATTGATACAGAAAGAACTGCTTGTCAGATGCATGTTGATCTTAAGAACCTTGTCCTGTAGACCCTGTGCTGTGTTGCTTGAAATACAATCCATGGAAGACTCATTAGTACTTCAATCATTTGGCTAGACTTCATAAGTTAACTTCAAAAATGAAAGAATACTTAGATTTCTAAACCCAAGCAAAAGGTCATTCTAAGTGGGTAAACCAATTTTATTTGTGGGGTTGTTCCCTCTCCTCTCTCTTTCTGACTCTGCAAAGAAGATCTGAATTGCAAATTCTTTATCATGGTCATGGTGAGGGCAACTGAGGTGGCAGCATTTGATTATTTGTGTGAGTTTAACTTGAAAGTATTCCATTTCAGAAATCAGACAAAAATCCAAGCAAGTGGGCTGTTTATCTCTGCCTCACTTGCAAAATCATCAGTTTTGTTTTGAGGGTTTTTGCTGTTTTTTCCCATCTTTGTAGAGCAAGTGAGTTGGATTGTGTTCATAAACATTTCAAAGCTCAGTGGCTGACCAGGGTCAGGGAGGTAGCAAATCCATGAGAATGAGAGTTTTTGAGATTCACTTGTGGCCTTAACATTCCCAAAGTCTCATACTTCCACCGAGCATATGACCTTTGTATGTATTACAAGATCTGGCGTTGGCCTGAGTCAGGACACTGTTCATTTACCTGCCCAGTAGACAGAGATCAAGTCAGATGGTCAAAGTTTCCATTGGTATTTGTTTGAAAGCATGCATAGGGTTCACTTGCTGTGCCCTTTTGTATCTATGTTCTCCTTGGCTTGGTGTGATTACTTCTGTTCTAGGTGGAAACAACTCCCTCCTCACCCTTCCCAGTTGCAGTGGCTTCACTTGTGAACTCCTACTCACCCTAATAGGGACACAGTGAACATGCAATGCAGACACGGCCCCTGCCCTGTGTGAAGATGTGCAGTTTCTTGACTGCTTGCTGTATGTCAAGGACATGATCTCATTTAATTTTCACAGCAATCCACGAAGAAGATATTGTTGACACATTTTACCAATGAGAAACAGACACAGAGTTGAGTAACTTGTCCCAGCCCTCACAGCTACTAAGGTAGAGTAGAGGTTCCAAAATCTAGATTCTGAGTCATACCATTTTGATTTTCAAAGACCAAATGATACATAAGAAGTGTTGAATAACTAAGGACATCGACACAGAAACATCTCCCAGTGGAGAATGTTTGGGAGCCAAAGCCTGGAATCTCTCCTGTGCTATTCTGACTGCTTGCATTTATTGGACTGCAATTTTTTTCCCCCTACCTGGAATTCCCTTCAGATCTTTTCTTGCCTGGATCCTTATCTTCTTCTTTTTTTCCCTTCCCTCAGATCTCATGTCACTGTTACCTCTTCTGAAAGACCTTCCCAGACTACCCTATTATAAAGTTATCTTCGTCTCCAGCTAGTATCTTTTATCATTTTACTCTGGCTTTACCTGGTTTATTTTCTTGTTTGTGTGGGTTGGACTTCCCCATCATAGTGCAGGTTCCATGAGTAGAACCTTATCTAGCTCATCCTCCACCCAGCCCTAGTACGCTGTAAGCCCTCAGAGAAAGTACCCCAAATGAATGAGCCTAATTCCTCTGAACTGGGACCACTAGCAGTATTATTCTCATTACTTAGTGTCTGCTTTCTCTATAAAATATTAGCCTAGTGTGGTCATGGGTCATCTGTCTTGTTTGACACCGTCCCAAAGACCTAGCACAGTGTCAGCCATATTTGAGCCTCTCTTTAAAGGTGTATTGAATGAATGCATCTACTGATTGAATGATACTTCCTCATCATCATTTGATTCTGTTATCCAGGTAGATAATTCCGAGTGAACATTGCTGTCTACCAAAGGAAGTCTAATCTGGTGCCTCTCAACCTTTACTCGAATATTAGGCAATGCTTTGGAGCTTTAAAAAGGCTAATGCTGGTGGCGGGGTCGGGGGTCCTACCCACGGAACTTCTGATTTTAGAATCTGGGTTGTGGCTTGGGCATCATTGTAAATGTTCCCTGTAGGGTTCTTATGTACAGCCAGGCTGCCATTTTCTGTTCTCAGAACTCATTCTGTGCTTTGGTCCTCATAGGCCTGAAGCAGCTGTGGTAAATAAGAGGCAGGAGTGTGGTTGGTTCCTGGTAGTGTAAGAGGTGCTTTCATACGTGATACTAATAAGTCTCTAGGTTAGTCCCTGTGTGTTGATGATTCCACCTGTCCATGTACCTAACTGTACAGATCAGAATCTAACCTCCTTCTAGACTGAGCTATCCCCTAGTAGCTCACACATAGCACTTCCTGTGGTGAGCTTCTCTTCCTTCTGCATGGGTCCCTTCTGAAACCACCTGGCATGTTACAGCATCATGCCACCCTCCCATGGCCATGACCATGGCTTCTTTCCTCCTTGCCAGTGGCCTCAAGCTTCCAATATCTCTTCACTCTGTCCTTTCCCTTCCCTTGGCCATTGCCTGAGGTCAGAGTTCTTCAGTGTTCCTGGATAGGTTAATGCCATATGCCCGAGTGACCTCTCTGGTTGCCCTTTCCTCCTCCAGAATTGCCAGAGTTCCCAACCTAGGTATAGTCCATGCAGGTTTTCCCTGGTGTTTGCAGTCAAGTCCAGACACTTTGGAAAAACCTTCAAGACATCATGGCCTTGTCCTAAGCTGTAGGTCTTCCTGGAAATGCTTCTCAACTTCTCCACTCAAGCCATAGCATGTGGCCTGCAGTATGCTCAGCCTGTGGGAGCTGCTTCCATGTCTTTATGTGTCTGTTGTTAATGGCATCCTCATGGAAGGCTTTTTCCAACACATTCAAAATTTTTGACTTTGTTGTCTTCTCTCAGATCCCCCTGGAGTGCTTTTGTCAAAATTACCTGTTGATCCTTCCAGCGTAAGGGTTGTTGTTTATAAGTTCCAGGTTGGGGCATAGGCAAGATTCTCTGTGCATTTTTAGAGTAGCACTTAAATGTTAGTCAAATTAAAAATCGGAAAGGGAGATGTTAACAGACTTTGTTATCAGAAAATAAATTGAGGTGTGGATACTTGAGAAGGGCATTATAGAGCCTTTTAGCTCGATCGCTAAATCATTCTTGAATGTGCAGAGAGCAAGTTGGCCGTCACTGGAGCTAAGCTTTTCTCTTGGAAACAGACTTAATCAATAGTGTGGCCATTTGCACATAAAGATGTTTTATGTAGTGCTATTGGTGTTGTCTGTGTTTTTCCCAACACATACCAGGTTCTTTGAGATGATCCAGGCCTGTCATAAGGAAGGAAAGTGCTGATAGCTTGAACAGAGGGAGTTCATAGCTGTGTGAGTGGGTATGTGTGTGGATAGGGTGGGGGACTCCTAGTTGCCGTGCGTCACTGGTGGTCAGGTAGAGGGCTACAGAGCTTGACTTCTTTTTTTAAATAACAATGATTAACATTGAGTAAGTGCTGACAGTGTGCCAGGAATTGGCCAGAACAGGAGGGGCCCTCCCCAGACACATAGCCCTGTTGTTCTGCATCCCTTGTGAGTCGAGTCAAACCTTCCATGTGGTCTCACTTAGACATGGAGCAGACCAGCTTCTAAATTATCAGGTCTGGCAAAGAACAGAGGACAGGGTTAGGACTACTCTCATGACTGAAGGGTCTTTCTACTCAGACCTCAGAACTCATGAGCTTTTCTCTTGTTGCATATAGAATTGGTGGGATCCCTATGATTTTTGCACACAAGGTATATTCCCTTTACATACTCTCTTGACTTTATCCTGTTGCCACCTCCATGAGCTCATAGACGTGGTCTTCAAGCCCAGTCCCCAGTTCTTATGTAGAACCCACTCTGCTGCGGTTCTGTAGGAGCAGTTTTTACTTAAAGCGCTTTAAATTTTAATTTATTTTACTTTATATGTATGAGTGTTTTGCCTGAAATGTGTCACTGGCATGCAATGCCTACAGAGGCCAGAAGATGGCATAGGATCCCCTGGAACTAGAGTTAAGGACAACTGTAAGCTGCCATGTGGGTGCTGGGAACCCAACCCAAGTCCCATGTGAGAACAGCCAGTGTCCTTAGCTGCTGAGCCATCTCTCCAGCCCCATTCTTTTTTCCCTGACCATTGCAATGGAAAGGCTGACCTGTGAGGAATGTGGGCTTTGGGCTTGAGGCTAGGGTGTGGAGTTCAGCTGTCCTACAGTGATGTACAGACCATAGTTAGCCATCATAAACAGTGCAGGGCATCTTCTAGGACCTTATGTATTCAGAGAATAGTTGTAATTTTTATTGTGGCTCCTGTTGCATTCCTCTATATGTTACCCTTGATTGATCTTGTATAATTTGGCTTAGCCATAGTCTGATTTTGGGAGTCAAGGAGCGTAGACTCTGTTCAAGGTGAATGGTTCCAGCCAGTCGTAGCTGGGAGCAGTTGTTGGAGTTGCTTCTACAATCTCATAAGTCATTTTCTTCTGAGCATGCGTGCACAGACATATACACACACACATACACATACACACACACACACACACACACACACACACACGCATTCTTCCCATTCCCTTTTTCTTCTTCCCTGACTTCACAGGCACCTATGGGCATTGCTTACCCTGCTAGTGGCAGACAGGCTCCTAACCCACTTTAAAAACAATGTATAAGGACTCACCCACCCCAATGGCTTTCCAGTGCAGCCAAGCTTGCTAATACATGGAAGAATGGGCTACCCCCGACCCCTGACCCTGCCCTGTCATCATTAATTAGAGTACATTGATTTATTTATAAGCATCAGGTTTTTGCCAGAAAAACCACCCTATCTTTGTAGGTAGCACAACTTTGGTCTGGCACTGTAGAAGTTTCAACAGCTAAAGAATCCCAATAATCTCCTCCTGTTCTTATCACAGGGTGGTGGAAATAAGTGCGGTAATCATCTAGTATTTATAATCTTTTCCCTGATGTTTATTACTGAAACAACCAGTCCTTCCTTAATGTTTTTTCCCCCTTAATTGTACTTTTCCATCTACTTCAGTATGATAAAATGGCTCATGTGCTCTAACAATTCTGAGATGTGCTTGTCCTTTGGTTTTGTAGCCAATCCAGGCAAATTTCTCTGCAGGATCTTGAAGGAGGGAGATGAAAATTTTTTCATTCTTAGGAGGTTCCACTAGTGATGCCTTTAATATTGTTTGCCTTTGAAAAGTTGGTTCTTATGACCAGCTTTATCCTTTACTCTTTTCTCCTTAGAGTTGAGGATCATGGCTGCGGGTAAATTTGCAAGCCTTCCCAGAAACATGTCAGTGAATCACCAGTTCTCCCTGGCCTCGTCCATGGACCTTCTGAGCAGCAAGTCCCCTCTCGCTGAGCATCGCACAGATGCCTATCAAGACGTGTCCATACACGGCACCCTTCCACGGAAGAAAAAAGGCCTTCCTCCCATAAGGTCCTGTGACAATGTCAGTCACATGGGTACCCTTCCCCACTCCAAATCCCCACGGCAGAACTCACCTCTGACCCAGGACATCATCCAGGAAAACCCACGGCAAGACTGGAAAGGAGACATCTTCACCTTTAGGTAACTTTTTTCATTTTGTGAGTGAAATGACTTATCTTGGAAGTCTTTCTATTAGGAAAAATGTAAACGTATGCAAAGTTATATGAATCCCTCCCTCCCTCCCTCCCTTCCTTCCTTCCATCTGTGCTGGGGACCTAGGACTTTATGTATGCTAGGCAAGTTCCTAAGCACTGAACTACATCCCTAGCCCAAGTGAACAGTTTAACCTTCATGGAGCACCACTTTAGCAGTAATTAACTCATGGTCATGTTTAATCTTTATTTCTACCCACCTTCCCTTCTGTGGTATTATTTTGAGGCAAATCTTTTGCCAATAAACTTATCTATACATATTTGGATATGGGCCTTTCAAAGATAAGGATTCAGATTTAAAGTATATGTAACCACTACATAAATACAACACTTTTAGACTGGAGAAATGGCTCAGCAGTTAAGAGCACTGGCTGCTCTCACAGAGGACCTGGGTTCAATTCCCAGCACCCACATGGCTGCAAACAAACATCCAGTCCCAGGGCATCTGACACCCTCTTCCAACTTCCTTTGGCATTACATGACACAGGTATAATTATGTTCATGCAGACAGACTCATACACAAAAAATAAAAATAATAAAATATTTTTTAAATTAACCATTTCTTCATATACCTAATATTTGAGATTTTAAAATCTAGCTTTCTCCATTAAAGAAAGCACATTTTAAAAAATCATAGTATTGGACTCTGAACTGCTTTCATTTAATTCTTTAGCAATTCCAGGGTATATATAAATTAGGATCCATACATATCTCCTTCAGTTCTCAATGAAAATAAAATTTTGTGCGGATGCATCCCATATCAGCTTCATGGTATTGTAGGAGAATTTATTTCTCCCTGCTGAGGCCAGGGATCTGGATGATTAAGCCTTTCAGTGTCAGTGCTGCTTCTCTGGGTTTGTCATGGGCTGGGCTGTGATTGGCTATTGCTTGTTAGAGCTAGTTTAGAAACTACGTTCCTTTTCCTGTAGATCAGCAGCTTGTGATATCGAATGGAGCGGTCTCTTCCCTTATCTTTATCCAGCCTTGTAGTGAAGAAAGCTACTCTGATCCTAGCTCATTTTTTGGTATAATCTATATATGGAACACCTGTGTTGATTAGAGTATATTGATTTTATAGGTCCCAGGGTTTCACCAGGAACATTCTGACCAGTCCCTTTGCATATTTAAAGGGGTTGGTCCAGCATTGAAGACATTCCAGCAGGCCAATTATTGCAGGAATCTGCTTTTGCTCTTTTGCATCTGAATCAGTGCCTTTTTCAAACTTGCATTTTAGTGAGAGACCAGATACTAAACGCAATAAGACAACTGAAGATTGCAACAAATTCTGTAGAAGAAATAGACTGACAGACTAGAGATTGGGCATGGGTATTGATTTTTTTCATTTTTGTGAGGTGAACACGTCTTTAAGGGGATAATTTAAGAGCTAAATGTTAATAAAAGAGGGCAGCCAGGATCTGTGTAGGCTTTCCCAAGTACAGGGAAATGGAATGCAAAGAACTGGAGGCAAGAGCAAGTGCAGTGTGTTTAAAAACCCCAAAAGAAGGTTGGTGTGGCCTGTGGCTCGAATGTGGTTAAGGTCAGAGACTACAGGTATAGATGTTGGTTGGAGAGTAGGCAGGTGACATTTCAACATTAGTTTTAGTTTCACAGTTGTAAGAAGAAAATTTGTGAAACCCAAATATTCTCTGCAGGAAGTATTAGTGATCCCTGAAATGCTTCTAGTGTTGGCCCAGAAGGTTATCCTGGGGACTGGAGGGACCTGGACCAGCTCCAGGAAACCCAGGTGGGTAGCTTCCCAGCTTAGAGAGCCTGCAGGCAGCCTGCTGATGAAACAGGCAAACATGAGGGCACATACCTGCCTGCAACTTTGTTAATAAGCCACCATTGGCATTAGTGGGCAAGGATGCAGACAATGCAGCAAAGACCCTTCTGGCCCTCCAGAAGTGAGCACCAGTGTTAGGCTGCAGGATGTAGAATCAGAACGAGCTGTTAATCATTGGCTTACTGGGGAGCCTTTTTATTTACTAATTTTAACTCTTCATTGAGCTAGGTATCTACTGTGTACCAGTCACAGACAGCTCACAGACCTACTCCTTAAAGTTGTGAGGCTCTCCCTGGCTAGATGCCAGCTCACACAAAGGGAAGACTGTGTGGAGTAGGGTCACTGGGGAAGGAGGTGCTAACGGAGTTGCCCTTCTGTCTTGAAGAAGTTCATAAACACCCAAGGTCCAGACTGCCAACCTGCCAGGAATTCAGAGCTTTTCGATTTGAAAACTGACTTGGCTTTAAAAGATCTTAAAAGGGGATGGGCACAAGTCCTGAGTTTGAAGTCCAGGATTAAGTACTGCTGGCCTAGGGTTTGTTTATTATTAATCAAAATTCACATCTTTTTTTTCTTCACTCGAAAAATCATAATTTTTTAAATTATTTAAGATAAATTTAGAAAATAACAAATGTCTATCCTGCACAAATCATGTGGAGTGAGAAGGCCAAGGGCACATGAAATCTGACCCCTTTAGACTTATAATTAACTTACTCGTTTCTAACATGCTTTAGTATTTTAATTTTTAAAAAGATTTACCTTTACTAATTTAAAAATTATGTGTATATGTAGGTGTGGGGGTGGCTATGTACATGTGAGCACAATGCCTGCCAGGTCTAGCAGACATTGGCTCCCCTGGAACTGGAGTTACAGGAGGTTGTAACCCATGAGATGTGGGTGCTGGGAACCAAATTCAAGTGTTCTTAACTACTGAAGCATCTCTCTAGTCCCTCTAACATGTTTTTAAAATTTTCCCAAGACCTTCTTGATTTTAAAGAGTTGACTCTCTTGTGTTTTTCTTCTTCTTTTAAAAATATTCCTAATAAGATTATGAGCTACTGCAATTCCTTTTTTAAATAAATCATGATATGAGGAAAAAGTTTACATGTGAAGAGTTAGAGATGAACAGCATGAGTGAGAACCCAAGGCTCTGGAGATGGGGATTTTACCTGAGGGACCACAGAAGTACAGTGAACAGTGGAACATCTACAGGTAAGTAGTGGGTAGCTTAGAAGAACTGGGGAACCCCAGTCATCCACTGTAGCTCACACCACACTCTTTTCACATTGAATAGGGTTAGTTTCAGTTCTAGGCAACATGCAGGTACAAAGTATGAAAACATTCCATCTCATCACATTTGGTGTTGGCATGACGATAGCACTTCTGATGTCCCAGACCCCTGTTCATGTGTATCCCACCTACACACAGAAGGCAACCATTCAGACAGACACCTCCTTGTCTTGTAAATTTCCCTTTATCAGTAGTTTTGCTTTTCGGGTTTTAGTTACCCCCCCTCCCCATCAAGTGCTAGCTAAAATATTAAGTAGAAAAGTCTAGAAATAAACAATTCTTGAATTTTCAGTTGTAGACCACACTGAGTTGCATGAAGAAACATTCTGCTGTGTTCCACTCAGGACAAGAATTGTGCCCTGATCCAGTGTACCCTAACTGACTATGCCACCCACCTGTTAGTCACCTAGTAGCCATCTTGACCGTCACGGTATGGCATGGCAGTATTTGTACTCATAATGTCCCCAAAGTACAAGAGTAGTGATGTTGACAATTCAGATATGCCAAATGGAAGCAACTATAGAGTGCTTCTTTTAAGTGACAAATTGAAAGGGTTTGACCGAAAAAAAAAAAAAAGGTATGTTGAGGTTACTAAGAGAGTATATTAGTATACTTACTCTAGTTTATTGTTGTTACTCTCCTACTGTGCCTAATATATAAACTAAACCTTATCATAGGTATGTGTGTCTAGGACAAAACGTGGTACATATGAGATCCAGTACTACATCCTGTTTCTGCACCCACTGGGAGATAAGGGGACTATTGTATCTTGACTTGTTACAGATTTGCTGTTTTGTAGTAAACATTTTAGCTTATTAATTATTAAAATGTGACCTTTATTATAACTGAAAATGAACAGTTACCCTGTGGGAAGCTCTAAGCAGAGGATAGGAGGTCTCCTCTTTGACCCAGATGTTCACATTATTAAGCTACATGTCATAACCTCCCTTTTACGAGTGAGTCCTAAGCCGGGCATGGTGGCATACACCTTTAATACCAGAACTCGGGTGGCAGAAGCAGGTGGATCTCTGTGAATACTAAGGCCAGCCTGGTCTACATAGTGAGTTCCAGGCCAGGTAGGGCTACAGGACGACCCTGTCTCAAAAAGAAGAAGGAGGAGGAGGAGGGGGAGGGGGAGGGGGAGGAGGAGGTCGTTGTCCTGTGTAATAGAAAGCTATGTAACGTAAAGGGATGCTGTTAGTATCGCTTATATTCTGTAGCTTTAAAATATCTTAAAGGATGTATATGTCATAAGTGTTGAGGTGCCTAAGAATAATAGTGGATGAGTTTGGGTTAGAACAGAAAGTACCTTTGGGCCTTCCCCAGACACTGGGCCCCACAGCCTCCAAAAATGTTGGTGCCAGCTAGAACATCAGTGAACTGTCTGCTTAGTGGGAAGAGGTGAGTTGCCCATCTGAGCCCAACACCTCAGACGCAAGCTTTGAAGAAAACAAGGCCTTGGTTGCCAAGAGCCAGGCAGAAGGCAGGCCTGGGGAAGGAGTTGGTCTTCTCTTTCAGAGACCGTATCTCTTGGCTTTCTCATTGTCTTGGCCACCCTTGGATATACTCGTGGTTTTGAAAGGTAGCCAAATCCAGAAAGCTCTTAAACCTGCTGCTTGATGTCACAGAAGGAGCCTTTGTTCCAAACACGGAGCCAGGCTTCTCTAAGAGGCCCGCAGACAGGATTTCCTCTTGACATTAGGGTTGTTCGGCTGCTGTCCTTTTGATTCATTTATCTTTAAGGATGAATTTGTATTTGAATCCAGAGCTTTTCTTGAGCGGAGAGGAACCCAGTTCCTGTTGGGATGTCCGTGTTGCCAGGATAACTGAGAGATCAGTCCTTGGAGACTGTTCAG